CAGTGCTGAGAGGCCTGGGTTGCCGACCATCAGTATTTTCTTCTCATGAATCTCTTCCCTTTCCTGTTGAGTTAAACAGGAGAGGGCAGTTTCCAGATGGATATATCCAGGAGCAGGAATACCCAGGTTGGACTTGACAGCTGGACATGGCCATCAGTCCATACACAAGCCAGTCTGCTGGATGGTCCTTTATGTTGTGGATTCTGGAGTTCCGAGGGACTCGGCAGTGTCCAAGACAGGAGGGAAGTCTCAGTGGGTTCCATGGGTGGATAAAAGCCACAGGTAACTCAGGCAGCAGATTCCTGGATGTCACACCCACAGCTGACCGAGCACGGACACCACTCCGTTTCCAGTGGCCGGTGCAGGTGGGAGTACGACACCTCTGTGCTCTCCCAAGTTGACACATGAGTCAGAGCAGGACCATGGAGGGCCTGTTATACCACACTAAGGATTTATCTGTATCTTATGAGCAATGGGAAGTCTTGAAGCCAAAGAATTAAGATCAGTCTGTCTTCACTTGAGAGAATGTTTGGTGGACACGTGTTATTAAATAAATGAACGTTGATAAGTTGGGGTGTTGTCGCAGAAGACGGGCATGGCTGGGGTGGTGGAGACAAAAGCAGAAACATGGAGAGGCTTGAGGGAGACTCAGATGGGGTTTGAGGAGGGAAGGGCCCCTGTGGTGCTTTGGTTTCTAAGTCGTGGTGCTGTTTTCTGAGAGGGCCAGCTTGTGGGACGGCAGGTAATGAATTGTGGCTGAGACCCGTCGTGTTTGGGAGTCTGAACAGTTAAGTTGCATGTATGGAATCAGAGCTCAGCAGAGGTGAGAGCTAGAGATACCAATTTATGTAGGGCTGTGGTTGTGATGTGATTCCGTAGGGCAAGACTCTAGACTGAGCAGAGGCAGAAAGTGGCAGAGAAGGGAACCAGCAGGCTGATGTTGAGAGTGGGCGTCTGGAAGGGCTGAGGGGAGCGTGCTGTGGCGGGTCTCCCCTTCCTCTCCCCACACTCAGCGTGAGCAGCGTATTGTCAGGTAGAGACTGATTTGGACAGGACATCCACAGAATGGAACATCGGCCGTTGGTGAGATTTTGCCTGTATTCTACATCAGACTTTGACCTGTATTATGGTTATCATGACTTTAAAAAAATTTTATTTTTATTGTTGGGGATTCGTTGAGTGTACAAAGAACCAGGTTATGCTGTTTGCATTTGTTAGGTAAAGTCCCACTTCTAATTGTATCCTGCCCCCAACAGTTGTGTCAGACACCATGACCCCTCAACGCCTCCCTCTCTCTGCTCCCCTGTTCCCCCACTCCCTGCCATGTAGTAACATCAATTGTCCTCATGACAGAATTGGTCAAATGACATTGGATTCTTGCTTCTCCATTCTTGTGATGCTTTACTAAGAAGAATGTGTTTCAACTCCATCCAGTTTAATTAAATGGAGTAAATTCTCCATCTTTTTTAGTGGCTGAATAGTATTCCGTGGTATACGTATACCACAGCTTGTTAATCCATTCCTGGGTTGGTGGGCATTTAGGTTGGGCGATTGTAAATTGAGCTGTGATAAACAGTCTAATGCGAGTGTCCTTATGATAAAATGATCTTTTTTCTTCTGAGTAGATCCCAGTAATGGGATTGCAGGATGAAACGGGATGTCTAATTTGAGTTCTTTGAGGGTTCTCCATACTTCCTTCCAAAAAGGCCGTATTAGTTTGCAGCCCCACCAGCAGTGTGAAGTGTTCCTTCTCTCCACATTCACACCGGCATCTGCAGTTTTGAGATTTTGTGATGTGGGCCATTCTCA